GTAATGAAGTCGATATACAAAAAGTTTAGCGCTGCTGAGTGGTGAGGTCATAGCCGGAGCTATCACCTGTGACGTTTGAGCGAAGTAAAAAGTACAGACACACACCTGCGTACAGACATGTGCTTATAAAGGTTTTGAGGTTAAAGAAATGGACTAATTTAAATTTGGTAAAAAATAATTAACAAAGAAATCGGAAATAAAAAATTTTATAATAAAAAAAATCGAATATAAAAAAATTTTATAATAAAAATAAATCGGATATAAAATAATTTTATAATAAAAAAAATTGTAAAATAATAAGAAAACAAAAATATATCCGAAGAATATATTTAAAAAAATAAAAAACATTAAAAAAAATTGTAAAAAAAGACCCTTAAGAAACTAATTTTATTTCACTTTTGTAATTGTATTTGTATAAAAATAGTATTTTTTGTTAGAGACTAACCGTAATTTCCAGTCAGTATTTTAAATATATATAACACCGTTTTTTTGGTATATGCGTTATTTATGCCGATTTCGCATGAGTTGAACACCTTTAAAGCACGCGGCGCTTTGGCATGATTGTAAACAACATTAAGCGCACAGCTGGTGTTTGGCCCACTGACTGAATGACGCACAGACGAATTAGCCGACTGACACACGCCACTACACCAGCTGACTGATTATGGCTGGTGTTAATTTCTGGGAGTACCCATTTCAATTGTCTTACGAATGATATGCATACATACATACATATACATATATATATATATAATTATACCCATACTGTTTTACATACTCATATATGCCACTCTAAACAAAAAATACTATTAAATAAAGGTTCACCGAAATGCTACGATTTGCCGTTGACTTATTGTTGAGAGGTTAAAGAACTCTGACGCTGATTGAATGTTGAACTGACTAAATGCCTGACTGACGTACTGACTGACTAATTGTCTATACAATGTTAAACGTTGCAGCAAAAGGCTGACTGACATATTGAAAAAAATCTCAACCGCCACTTTTTTCATTATTATTTTTTTCTCCAGCAGCGCTCACGACTCCACGCTCTCCTTGCCGTTGAATGCGCCATATTTTATTGCTTTGGTTTTTGTTTCAAATTTCTTATTATTATTTTTGTAAATTACTTTGGTTTGCTTTATGCTTCGACTTTCTTCGCCGCACTTGATCGATTGCTTTTTTTACGCTGTCATGTTGTTATGCGGGTGGCAGCAGCTGGACACTTGCGGAGCAACGCTTCATTTGAATGAAAGCGCGGCATTCCAACGGTCAGTGCAATGGCAATGGTGATGAGTCAGGCGTGTGGCGTTGGCTATAGTCCGGCGTTTTCTGTGTCTTTGGATTGGAATTTGTTTAATAGGCATTTTGATTGTGTTTGATATTCATCAATTTGAAGTTTCTTCTTTCCTTAAAGAAAATAAAGTAATTTAGAATATTTATTTTAACATTTTTCGCTATAAATATAGGAGAAATAAGATATTTTCCCTCTAACTCTATTAGATATAAAGAGATTTATTTACTTGGATAAATAGATCTCTTTATGTCTAAGTTACCCCTCATAATAGCACTTTTATTCTTGTAATTTTTCAAGATTGCCTTATTAAAGTGAATATATACTTCATGCAGATACAATATATAACTCCTGGATATAGCTTTTGAAATAATACGGTCAATTTGTGGTGCTGATCTTCGTCGAAGAATCTCACTTGGGCAGCTTGGGTCCAAAAGCGCTATGAAAAAAGGTTCACCGAAGGTATGCCTACCGAGATGTTTCAACCTCAGTCTGGCGACAGTGAACAATGAAAGCGGAAGCTTCTAGATATTTTCTCCTTACAATTTTGGCATCTGACAAGATTTTTGACCTCACCGCATGTATGCATTTTCGAAAGTGTCCAGTCAGAACCCTTAAAATTGCGGAAAGGTGCAACTTACTATAACCGCACAAGTGCTGATTGCTGACCTACGATTACCAAGCCCACAAAAATAGCTGGAACGTAAGAGAATAATGGAGTATCCATTGGCTTTCAAATTGATGAAATTGGAGCAAGGGCGCCATCGCCAGCAATCTCAACGACTTCGCAGTTTCCCGCGACTCCGCTACAAGTAAGAACCCATGCAAGCCGGATAACAAAGTAGCTGTATGCTATTGATAAATAGGTTAGCCACCTCTCGGCTTGTCTAGAGTATCTCTTAGACCTTTGATGTGATCAATCAATTGTCTTATTAAAAACTGATTCAAAACGGATTTTCTCGGTGGTAATCGATTCCATAAAGATAGCATATGCTGTGCTATAACCTTTAAACTATGCGCTGATTGCAAATTCAACCTTCTCGCTTCTGGAAAATTTTTGTATCTGTGATATAACTGAATGTTTACAAATAAAGCAATTCAAAATTTTACATATTTACTTTTTTAATAATTTTCGACGTCTTCACAATCCAACTCTTAATTGATAACAGTGTCACCTTAGAACTCTAGAGCATCCAGATATTATGATAACTGAATATTTTGGACTTTATAAATATTTTTTTTGTTCACAATAACTTTTTAGATTCTATCGGGATCAGACCAAAATCTAACGTTCCAATACAATTTCTCAACATTACAAAACTGAACTTTTTTAATACATGCGTATTTATTTCCCCTAAATCGTACACCTTCCAAGCTCGAAATCCTAATAAAAACCTGTTAGCTTCCTCTTGGAACCCTGCGTGATTGCATGCTGACTTAGCATGTTACTGCTCCAGTACTTGCAACAACCTGATGCCGCGTAAGCATTTAACTACTGTAAACGATACCACGTATTACTGTAAGCTAGATTATATTGATCCGCTGCAAACGCCATATGTGCAACGCTTACCGGTCGCTTGTAATCTAAATGCTCATATCAAAAACGCATGTTTACGACTTGCAACAGCGTCTGCGAGTCGCATTAAAAACGCCAAATAAGCACGCAAATGCAAACACGTCAATGCTGCGATTGGTAGAAGCTGCAAGCCAAAGAAGCTCCGATGTTTTATATAAGAATATGCAAGTGATAAAAAAGAAGTCAATGCTGCGCTATCCGCTCCAATGCGGCAAAACCTCGGCATGCGAAGTGCAACGTGTAAAGGGGCGCAAGTGTAGCGGTATCTTGTTTTTATTCTTTATGCGACATCAAAGTTGTTGTGAGTAAATTAAGCGGCAGTAACTCAATATATTGGCCACTTACACGTTAATTTAAGCGCAAATTGAATTAATAAACCATGTTTAACATTGCCGAGTGTGCGGTCTGTTGTTGCAAGTTGCACTGTCCGATGGCCGAAAACGCGAAACGATTTATTAATTTATGCACGAATCGCCTGGCAAATGCCGACAAATACGAAGTTTTTATGTGTCGTGGTTATGTGTGAAAGAAAAGAGTGTTGCCAGAATTGTAAAGAAATAAAGAAGCTATTCAGAAAGGAGCAGGAAGTGGACAGCTATGGTTACTGACATTAAACTACAGGCTTGCTACAGGTCATACAGCTGTACATGGCAGGTTAGAACCTCGTAAATTTCCCAGAGACAAATTAAAATACTAGTGGCAACTTGCTCCCATTATCGGTATACATATAGCCTCTACTCTAATCTGACAATTGTGCAATATGGAGCCGAAAATTCTGAAGCATCTGCTTTTAGATTGCATAACGACCTACAGAGGCCAGATTAAGGCTTTTGGTTCCATATATCCAAGTGAGGAGAACATTACCTGTGTGGCGGGATGTATTCGGCAGAGTGCTCGACCTGTCTGAGTACGTGTGAAAGAGGAGAGTACACTATAGACCTTAAGGTCACAGAGCACACCTTAATTTAATTCTATTATATTTTTGGTTCGGCTCGTACTTAAGTGTTTGGCGTTACTTTCTCGTAATTGCTAATTTAAAAACACGAAAAATTGAAAAATCTTTTTATACAGTTAGTAATGTGAAACACAAATTAAACTCATCCACCGATTTCCAAACGGTGTGGCCACTCATTGTTCTAAGAAAACGCCAAGAGAGGGAGAGTACAGCGCGAAGTGTGTTAATCGAACAAATGTGCGCGATAAAATATGCCAACGCACGAACACACACACATATACGAAGGAAAGAACAAACAAAAGTCGCTTTGTGGAGTAAGGTTTACATGCACTCCCCCGGCCCTACGCCCGGCACGCAGATGCAAATTTGAATTTACAAGCACGTAATGCGAAAACCTGTGCAACAAACTTATACGAAAGCATAACAACAACGTCAACAAAGCGAGCGACCAAACGGCGATACAATTTCACAGTCGCCCTACAAATTGTGGCAGCATGTTGCAAACTTTCTTGTTGCATGTGCGCACTATGTACATTGTTGTGTGCCTGTAATTAATGTTACTCCTCTTATTTTATTATAACGTTTTTTTTTTTTTTTGGGTTTTATGCCTTGGTCTCGGATGTGTGGCCAAAGTCAAAGCAAACAGAAAATTGTGCGTTGTGTGTGCGAAAATGACGTGATTGAGTTGAATGAATTTTGGCGGCGGTGCTGCTTTTGTAAAATCAAAACGCGCACATGCAACATGTACGAGTGGCAGGGCTGAAGCGGCCAAAACAAGCAGAAAGTTGCCAGATGCCAGCGGCATAGGCAGTGCGGTAGATATTAAACAAAAACTTTATGAACAACGAAAAATTAGAACATGTTCAATGCGCTGGACAAAATTTACATGAACATGTCGCGATTGTCGGACGCTGTGTTGCTGTTTGCGGGACTGGGCCAACTGTGCTCTGCGCGAACGCTTTGTGTACCTGATGAATGCGTAATGCCCTCTGCATGACTTTGGAAGTGAAAATAAAAAATGTTAACTCTAATAGTATATAAATATTTTTTTCTTTATCTCAAACTATTATGAATTTACTAGTTATTAAAATTTGTGATAGTCCAGTAAGCTGAAGCTTAAGGGAATGGGCCAGCCTAGTATTAACAAAAATATACACAATCACATACATTTTACTTACCACCTTAAATATTCCTGTTATCGAATTTTGATATTTCGACTGTTGCAAAAACAAAATTTACATTTCTTCTATCAAACACATTAAATTCAACAAATCAATTAAAATCCATTGCACTTTTTTACACACACTTTTATCATGCTTTAGGTAAACACACATTTGTATTTTTCAAAAAACATTACGGCACACAAAACGTTACCGAACCAAAGAACGCCGGGACTTTTGCGATGTAAAAAACAATTATGTGATTGAGATTAATTGACTCATTAATAAATAAAAAATATTAATGAAACACTTTCCGATTGTATTACGCATAACTTCACTTAAACTTTTTAAATTAACTATAAAAACAATAATTCACAAAACATTTCTCACTTTAACACATTTCTATTCAATTCACTCACACTTTTCAGTGACAACACCTGTTAACTTCCACTACAATGCAAAAACTGAAATGTCAGTCACTCATCGCTTTTCTTTGCACACCCACACCCACATATGTAGGTATGTACATGCTCACTACAACTTTAAATTTGATTTTATTTAAGTTTCTCACTCGCTCTTTAAAAACAAACAAATGCAAGTGCATGTGCTTGACAAACGTAAATATGCGTACACAAATATGGTACATACAAACGACATTTACGCTAAATACATGCAAACACAGCAGTGGCACTCGGTTTTTCGCGAGCACACGCAAATGAAAGTGGCGAAAAGTGAAGGCAAATATATTTTATATTGCTATGCAAAGCAATATTGTGCAGCCAAATAAGTGAAGTATTAATATTTCCCACACATTTTTTTTTTTTGTTTTTACAAATAATAGTAAATTTAATTATAAATCAATAAAACTTCATAGTTCGCAAATTGAAAATAAGTGTAGTGAATTAATATGCAAATTCGCGTAATAGTTGTTTTCGTTGTTGGCTCGGTTCGGTTCTCAGTGCTCTGTTCACGTCAATGTGGCGAAGTTTGTAGTGCTGTTTTTATATTATGTTAAATCATATAACACAAGCAGTGTACTGCCTGCAAACATGTATTAACATGTTAAAATAGCATGGTTTTTATTGATTTGCATAGTTTGTATAAATCATGCGTGAGTGTATTCTGTTAAAAGTTTATTTGAAAAATTTGCGTTAACGTCTGATAACAGAATAACATGAGCTGGTAAGTTATTTAATATATTATATTATGTTCTGTTTAATATTTTAACATAATAATTTATATAAAAAATATATATTCGATACTGTTCTGATAATATTTAGTGTAATATTTCTTTTATTTTCACATTAAATTCAATTATTTGTATTGTTGATTAAATACTTATTCAAATAGTATACTTTTAGCTTAATTATGATAATGACATTAAAAGCAACTACCCTTTCAACGCGCGACCCCAACGTTTTTTAAATATTTTAAGTTCGACACTCATAAGCAAAAAATCATTTTTCTTAGCAGTCTTGTTCCATTAAAATTATATTCCATTGTATTTTATTATAAGAGAGCCACAATTTTATCACATACATTTTTTAAATCAGATACATAAAAATTATTTAACAGTTGAATTTTCCTGTTCCAGTTATTGTTTCATTGTTCATTTCAGTTGACTAAAATTTTTTTTAAACGGCGGTATACTTTTAACATTTTTGCCTAGACTAAAAAAGTAATATGGGGACCTAAAAACTGATTTTAATATTTTGGAAATTTTCAAATTGAACCGCTCTAAATTTAAAATTAATTTCTCTTTTTAATTAATTTTTTAAAGCAATCGTATATTTTGTGCAACATTTTGCTTGCATTCATTCTGGCTTAAATACAATTGACTAAACCTGTAATCAATTTGTAAATACACGAATACAAAATAAATTGTGCGTGGTCGTTCTCTAAGGAGTAAATATCCCACAACTACACAATTTTAAATGTCATTTATTGCTTGCAACAAATGTAATTGACATAAGCGGCGATACCCTATCGACCTGTATTAGCCTAACAAAATGCCATACTAATATATGGCCAAGCAAAACAACAACTCTCTCACAGGAGCAAAATGCAGAAATAAACCCACAACAGTTAAATGGGCCATTTTCGAAGCCTAGAAAAAATAACAAGGGTAAGACAACTTGGCTAACAAGGCGGCGCGTAAAGTCAGACTGACTGTCTTGGTTGAATGCGTCGCAGAAAAGTGTTGGAAACACAATAAAAAACTAAGGCATCAAATCGCTGCCACAAATCGCCACAAACTACAAATTGTGGCAGTGGCAGTGGCCGTTACTAGTTTACAGTTACAGCGCTTATTTGCCAGTCTGAGTTAGCCGCATGCAACGCACAATTTAAACATATTAAATGCATGTTGAGATAAATTTCAGCTCAAACTTGAAGAAAAATACATAAATGGAGGTAAAACTGCGGAGTAATGGCGCGCAACAACAAATAATACAGGCTTGATTGCATTGTGCGTGAGCAAAACGCGCCTTTTGTGAGCATTTTGCTTTTCGACGGCTCGAGGCGCAGCAAAATTGTTTATGCCGCGCCATTAACTGCATAAATACGCGCAAATAAATGCGGTTGCATGCAACAAAATGCATTTTTTGCATTTAGTAGTATTTTTTCTGCTTAGTTTGGCGCTGATTTTTCATGCCGCGTTATGTGGCATACACAATTTTTTTGTGCGCCAAAATTAAATGAAAAATTTGTCACAATTTATGTCATAACGATTGCGTGTCCATAATAATAGTTGAAAGAGTGCGGACATGGCGGCCGAAAACTCGACGAAGGCGATAAATTATAAAACTGATCATGTCAGTAATAAGCGCAAACAGAATCAGCGTCGCGCAGCGGCAGCTCATAGACAGCGTCGGCGCAGGTGCGGGGCGACACAAAAATACTCTTGCATACGCGCCACATCGTGAACGCCCGGCTGCGGCAGGCAGGAGGGCAGTGGCAAGTAGAATTTGTTTATTGATTGTGGCGGTGATTTGCTGCTGGCGGCACGCACATGTTGCAAGGATTTGCTGTAGACAACAGCGGAAAAAATAAATACGCACACATTACTTCATTTATTTCTATATACCTATATGTATGTATGAATAGCCGAAATTCAATTAGTTAAAGCATAAGCCTTTTCACACTTCGCGCACATATGCCACTAATACACACACATAAATATGTCTCCACTGCTTTGCGTTTAGTCATTGGCGCTTATCGGACTCTGCCGCCGACACACCGCTTGCAAACAAATGAACGCATTTCAAATGTGAAAAGGTGCCAAGGATTATTGCCGTTGGCACGCTGATAGCGTTCGCGTGCTGCGTAGCAGGATTAGTGGGCGTATCGGAAAAAGGCGCAAGCTTTGATGTTCTCCTTACGTCTGCATCTACGTTTGCGTTGTTGCCGTTGTTCGGGTTTGGGGCCAAGCATAAGCTCTACCTGCATCTGTTTGAATTTCATTGGCGTTGATGGCACTGATCACTGAGCGTTGAGCCCTCAATTATCGGTATAGGTAAAGCACTTGCGAATATATGTATGAGTGGGACAAATAGCGGCACGCATGTTTTTGTTCATATTGGCGTTCTCAGCGCAACGCACAATTGACACGTTAAGCTCCGCTTGATGGCTCAAGTTGCCATGAAAGCCTTTTTGGCTTATTAGCATTTAAATGATTTTCACTTTTTTCCCCTTTTTCTGTTGTTACTATTTTTTTCGTGCTTGCCACCGTTGCTTCACGAGTATATGCGGTTAATACGTGCAGGATTTTCTTTACAGCTTTTAATTACAAAATAAATAAAATTCAGGTTAATTATAATGGTTGGCTTTGGCGACGCCTTTCACCGTTGAAATTTCGAAAAAAAGAAATAATTTTGATAAAAGTTATTAAAATGAATATGTTTATTAACGTGACTTGCAGTGGTGGCGCGCTATAGGCGTTCTGTGGAATAAAGAAAATAAAAACTTTTGAAAAGTTATGGAGTAATGTAAATATGAAGCGCTCTTGTTATAAAAACAAGAAGAAAGTTAACTTCAGCTGCCCCGCAGCTATAGTAATTTTCACTACTACTATATATGTATAGCTAAAGCTGAAAACTTAACCGGTCAACGTCCATAATCTATGCTAAATTTCATAAAGATATCTTGTAAAATAGAATTGTTTTTGTTGCAAGGACTTCATTTTGATCGATCAGTTTGTATGGCAGCTATATGCTATAGTGGTCCGATATCGCTTAATATCGCATAAGCAAAGGGACTAGTTCGCGTGTATATATGTGAACAAATAGACAGGCAGACATGGCTAAATCGATTCAGCTCCTCAGGCTGATCATTTATATATAATTATATAAGATACTTTGTAGGTTAGGTTTTCCGAAGATGCCTTCTGGTAATAACAAACTTCGTGTTTTGAATGTGTTTAGAAGTTTCGAACTTTTTCTTAATTTTTTTTCAACCAATGCAATAAGAGCTGTTGTCTTCGTTTTCTTAGCGCATTCATAATGATTTATTTAACAACTTCAGCTATGCTAAATTGTAAAACAATTGCTACTGTTCACTTATTTCCCAACACTTCAGAAATATATATAAAATGTGCTTAGACTGATTTACGAGACAGCAGGTTGTTTTCTGCGCTTAAAAGGGTGCTTTAATAAGTTTCACAGTGATTTTGGGAGGTATATAAATAAGAATAACAAATTTGAGGAGACAGTTGACGAGAGTTTTATTATAAGGAAGTTCCACTCATTCTCAAGAGTAGTGACGGTAGAGTCTCGAACTTTTTGAGATTCATTAGTAAAGGGTAATAGATGGAATTAAGTAAAGCAAATCGATAGCAAGTAATTTCTCTTGTCAGTATTGTGTATGAAACCTTTAACTACACCACAATCTGGCTTGGATCCGATGCCACATGCTCTTTCATACATTCACTTATGTAGAGCTATTATATTATACATATATTTTTATGGCCTTATAGAAAGGACGTGGTTCTTAAGCGTCTCGTTTTATAGAGCTTAGTTTCTAAGCAAATTATAATTAGCTGCTAAACTTTTTCAATAGGCTGTTGATAAATTGAGGTTTCGTTGATAATAGTAATTCATATTTCAAAAATTTATTTGTTAATTCTTGTGACTCGCCTAATAGTTGACATATAAAGTTTTTTGCAGAAAACTCCTATTGCTTTACCCTGTGTATACTTAGAAACACTTTGACACATTCGAAC